CGGCGAGGGGAGGGGCAGGCCCCACACACTCTCACTCTCTTACCGCCTCTACCTCTAACTTCCTGAAACGCCGGGCTTCCCGCTTCGGTGGGGGGTTCTAGGCGTGCAAACGGTTCGGTGTTTCGTTGCACAGGGGACCAGGGGAGAGGAAACAGGTCGTAAAAAGTTCCCCAAAGTCTTAGCCCTGGATCGGACCTCGACTATACAACCGACGACACCCGGTCCAAGTGGCTCCAACCCCTGGGGTTCAAACAGTGCTTGTTGGAGTCCCTCTGCGACTTTGCTTACTCCTCCTTAGCTGTTCCCTCCTAGAACTATCTTCAGTAGTCTTACTGGCAGGTGGTGTCCAGATGGATGGCCTTTGCAGGGCCAGGTGAGGACACTGTCCTCTCCTCACTATGCACTGAAGTCTGACCAAGCTGCCAGTGCAGCTCACTTGTCTCTCCTAAGACTCAGGACCCCGTGCTGGGGTCTGTAAGGGAACGAGAGTCACTGGAGGAAGAATGGGATAGTGAGCTGGGTCCCAGGGGGACTGGCTGAAAAGGAGACAGCAGGCTAATCTCGGGATTGTATCGCAGCTTGAAATGCAATCCCACTGTCCTTCCGGTCCAGAGGATTTGGACTTCTTTCTGTGCCCATCTGCTGGTGCTCAGTAGCTTGGAGAGGTGACCTGGCAGCTGGGTTGGGGGGGGGGGCTTGGGGGAATTAGCCCTGCAGGTCTGCCTAGGGGCTGGCCGCTTATGTAAGAACTTTTAACGGCTTAAGGGGCTGGGAGGTGAAGCCTGGCCCCTCCTGCAGGCTGCCTCTCTAGAACTGACTCAGGTGTAAGCAACCTCTATCCTTGCTCCTATCCTAGAAATCCAGCTACTGGGGCTCAGGGCTCAGGGTGATAGGGAGGGGCCACAGAAGGCGAGGAGACAGGCTGCAGCACTTGGGACTTGTTGAAGACAGTGCCTTGGTTAGAGCAGGTCCTGCAAAAGTATTCAAGAGCTCGGGGCAGGGTCACGAAGGAACATCCTTCTCCAGACTGTACTTCTGCATCAAGGGACCATCCCTGCTCCCCACCCTCCCACCACCGTCTTAGGCTCAGAAGAACCTGTGTAACACTTGAGCCCCAGCCAGGTGGTGTACTGAGATTCAAAACCTGCTGGCTAGACCTCCATCTGCCTTCACCAGATGAGCTGTGGGAAGAGGATGGTTAGATGGAAGTCCTGGGTTTGAGTCCAGAGTTATTGCTCTCTGGCTTGAACTTGGGCAAGCCATGCCCCCTGTCCTAGCTCAACGTGCTAATATTGTTATTACTTCATCTCCCCTCCCCTCAAAAGTGTTTTGGAAATCTTGTTCCTTCAAACAGCTTCAGGCCAGATAGAGACCTCTGGGCTCCCTGCCTGGACCTCAGTGCCCAGCTGACTCTGCTTACACCTGCCCTCCTACCTTCACAGCTGCTAGGTTGGGGCATCTCAGGGGACCAACATTCCTTCCTCAGGCTGATGAGGCCCACTGGTTGCCTCAGTGTCTCTTCCCCATGGAGGAAGCAGCTGCAGAAGATCAGGAAGAGGGAGGAGGAAAGCCAGGGGGATGGATTAACAGAGTCACTAGAAAAGGACAGCCTAACCCAGGCTGAGCCCAGCAGCTTAGAGTAATGAGGAGCTCTGAGACAGGTGAAAGCAGGAGGGGGTGCGGGGGAGCAGGAGAAAGGGAGTGGGGCTGTGAAGCCTGTAATCACTGGGAAGGTGACCCTCCCCACAACTTGGCCTGGCAGCCTCCTCCCCTGGGTCTCAGAGTTCTGTTCTGGGGCAGATGTCACATTAAGGTCACCCGAGATGGCAGAACCCCACTTCTCTCTTGTGCCCCAGCCCTGGCTGAGCCCTGAATAGTACCCTAGCCATTCCTGACCCATGCTAGGGGACAGTGACCCAGAGAGACCACTAGAGCAGCCTGTGTTCTGTAACTGCAATTGGCCCGATAGTCTTATCCTTCCATGCCAAAAAGGTGCCCCAGGGTGCTTTCTTTGGCTGGTCTCACTGCTCTGGCTTCAGGTGGCCAGTGAGAGGTCCTAGTGCTGGTCCCCCTTTAGCATACTTTTTTGCCCCCATATGTCCCAGATTCCCTGGGGGAATCTATGAGTACTGAAGCATCAGAGGTACTTCCCTGACATCCCTGGCAAGCTGGCGCCAAATCTTACTCCTTCCTTTCCAATGCCAAAGGGCCTTCAGGGGCCTCCCTTCCTTTGGGCTCCACTGGTAGGGAGGGAAGCTTGGGGGTCTGTGATGTTCCTGTCCCCAGAAGTAAGAGTAAAGAGGACATCTGTGAGTCTCCTCTAACATTCCCGGCCCCTGGGGCCTCATCGCCCTAGCTCTGCAGGAAGCCTCGCCTCCCCTCCCCTCTGCACAGAGATGGAACAGTCTGTGTTTTCCTGGCAGGGTCCCGGGGGCATCACTGGGGGAGGCTGAGCATCCCAGTGAGCCTTGTGGCTTGGAGGCCAAGCCTCCCCTGGGCCTGGCTGCCACCACACTGCTGAGAGGTAAACAAACCCAGCCTCCCAGGGCTGGGGAGGGAGGGAGCTCGTGCCACAGACAGCCACCATGCCAGAGAGAGGACTGTGTGCCTGCTCCACCTCATTCTCTCACCTCACCAAGAAGTGAGCTGCAGGAACCACAGGAAGACAAAGGGAGGAGACTGTGGAGATTGGGTGGGGGGACCCACTCTCTAGCTTGTGGTCAGGGAATAGCATTAACAGTTCTGGTCACACAAGAGGGAAGGGTCTGCCCCCTGCCACCCTTTCCCCCATGTGAATCAATTCATCACCTAATCTTATTGCCCTCTTGTAGAAAATCTGGGTCTTGCTGGGCACGCAGAGCCACCAAACTTCTGCTTTAGGAAATTTTCAAAAGTTCCCTATCCTCTGTCCTAATTTGTATGCATACTTATCTGTCTAAGCCAGGTCTGTGACCCTTCTCCCCCCCACCTCCCCATCTTCCCACCACACTACCCTCGCAAATGAAAACAGACTATCCTCTCTGGGGTTAAAACCTTTCTTATCTCTGCCACTTTCTGAGCTGGGGATAGGAGGTCAGACTGAAGCATTGGACCAGAAGTCAGAAGCAGTGCTCCTTCCTTTCTGAACTGTATGTTTTGCATCTGTTAAGTGGAGGGGAGGTTAACCTAAAAATTGACAACTAATAGATTATGGGGTAGATGTGATCGTTTGTGAAAAATGCTTTGTAAACTGAAAGGGCTCCAAGGCCACCCTAAGGTCAAGGAGTGTCGTTGTTATTAATGCCTGCCCCCTAGAAATGATGTCGGGGGGAGGGGGGATTAGTAGTTCAGTTTCACTCCTGTGAGTTGGGAATGGGTGAACCCACCCGTTTTTCAGGGCTCCAGGCCTTGATCAGGGTCGGTGGATTGGTATTAGGAAAAGGCAGAACCTTGTTAGAGGTACCCCTGCGGGTAGGGAGTAGGGCAAGGGGAGGCTCAGGCCGGTGGGGGCCCACTGGCCTGATGTGGCCCAGACTGGGAGCCAACCAGGTGTTTGAGGTCGCGGGGAGGTGGCGCGCTGCAGGGGTCCTGGGAAGAGCGGCGTAGGGGGCGTGTCCCGGCCTGGCTCAGTCCCCTCCCCCACCGGGTCCACGCCCCCTCCCCCGCTGCAGCCTGCCGGGTCTCCTTGCCACTGCCGGTGGCTGGGCTGTGCGCGCTGGGGGCGGCGCG